AACAACGTTCAGTAATTGATCAACAAACACCACATATTGTTACTCAAAATCAACAACATATCGATCAGAAAACAACACTTAGAGTAGGTGGAATTACGGCAGGTTTGTTCATGATTTGGATAAATAGTTTTGACTAAGCTAAGTAGCAGTCTCAGCGAATACATTCTAGAGCCAGGAAACAATACTTCTTAATATACCATGAAGAGCAGATGCAGCTTTCCCTGCAAGATTTCCTAGTGCTTCTCCTAATGACTTTAAATTCTATTTATCGAATCTTTGACACCATCCTTATCATTATTAAAAAGTACCAACAACAAATGAATAATAATTATATGTCCAGAAGAAAGGGAGAAGTGTAAAATCGAGAAACATAGAAATATAACTTCTCATGACATGAAAGAATAGTGTAAATATGATTGTGGCCATGCTGCGTTCAAGACACAATTCTTCTATAAATAATAAACTAATATTGAACGGTTTAGTAGCACTGTTTGTACTCGTCATAACTAATGTCGGTTTAATACTTAGGTACCATGCCAACAACAAGTACCATCTTTCAAAGTCTTCTAGTAAGAAGTGTTCCCATTCTGCTCTCAAGACTGACGCTCTTTCCACGAGACCACGGTCCGATCCGGTCCTTTTTTATACGAAATTTCAAGGGCAGATTTAGCATTTAGCATTGCCAAAAGTGTTTTACACCTTTATAAGATTTGATGTTATCCCAAATTATTATGACAATAGTGATAGGTTTTGTCTTTGTCTTCCTCCTCGTAAATGAAAATGATTTTATTACATATATTACCCTTCCAAGTGTTTGTCTATGGTAAGTTAATAATAGCAGTGAAAGGTACATGTTCCTTGAATCAATACACTCAGTTATTGCGTTTCACATGTACATGTACACGCATGACCATAATCACAGAAACCACTTGAACATAATACCCTTCAGATTCAAATTAACTGTTTAAGTATCACTTTCGAATCTATTTTATTATATTATATATTAGTATTTTGCTCTGTTATCTGCTGCAATAATGAAATGTTAAGGGTCGTGTCCAAACGATATTACCACATTAATACACGGAAAAAATATGTGGGGTATAAAACTGGTGCTTAAGCTTTATGTTTAAGTCCCAAAAGGAACAGAGACTATTGATTATTTTAACTAAACACGTTTTGTCATGTATGACTTATGCCGCGATCTCAACATCCTAAAGTCTCCACATGTTTTGAATATAAACATGTTTATGAAAACTGTGTAATATAGTTAATGGTGTCATTCCTTAGTTAACCGGTTTCTTTCGCGCGCCAATCTTCTGCTGTTACAATCGTTATATCAAACTTATGTTTGGGGTCTTGGTGAAATTTAATCACAATGCAATTAAATCAAGCGTATCAGAAGAGAAATGGCGATCGTTTAGTGACACCATTAACAACTGTAAGTGATCAATCACATATACGTACTAGATAATATCGTCCGACACAAACACATTTCGATATAAAATGTATTTGATTAACTGATTCTTGTTTCATTTTGCTTTGCTAATTAAATCTGTAACGTTTTCATTCTAAACAATTCCACAACAAGCTTAGGATACAAACATATTTAGGCATTAAAACCCGTTTAACTTATCGGGCAAGCATTAAACACTATTTACAACGTTGTTACCAATTAGACGTCTTCTGGGGAAAGGAAGTTCCCACTAGTAATATAAAGACAGAGATCATTAGATTACTTTATGCTATTTGAGTATCCCAGTATATCTTCAAAAGTCATTTTACAGACATTGAAAAATAATCATTGTTATTCAAATACACAATATACATGCAATGAAGGATACGAGAAAATCGTTTTCTTTTGTGAGCGAAGACTCGACAAGAATGACAAATTATATGGAACTTTAACTTGAATGATAAAGGAAAACATTACGCATAAAACACTTACATGTATAATAAATTAGGATAAATACATTCGCCTACATTCTGTGAAAGAGTATCCTTAGTTGTACAGATCTGAGTTTGAAGGTGAATAAGGTAAGACTGTTGCATGCTAGTAAGTGTGACCTAGAGGATTAAATTGAAAAAAACACTTGTAATATTGTTACTGTGAGGTACGATGTTACAAATTCACTTATAAGGACATATCCCTCTTTTAAGAATGCATGTAGTTCCCCCGGATAGTACCATACACGTGTGGATTTCAGGTTTGTGCATGTTGTCAGAATGTTTAAAAAGCTGTAATTCTGTACAAACTCCAGAAAAGTCATAGAATGAAACTTTAGGCTTGGTTTAGTATTCAACTGAATTTATTCTGAATATCTACCATCCTTTAAAAAGCTTGCATATTATTGTATCGTTCACGGCGGCAATTCCAGCAGATGGTGAAAGACTATGAATTTCCTTTGTAAACACAGACTAGATCTAAAACAAACTATTTGTCGACCGAAAATAAAAAAATCATAATCTCGAATTTACTCAGGAATTGACTTTTAAATATTCTGAGGGTAGCGTATGTCTGGGCGAGGATTATTTATATGTTTATGAAAACGTAATTATGTGAATCATTTCCTTAAAACAAACATATCTGTTCATAACACAACAGTGTAGTCTTCAGATTATATAAAGCTTCAACACATAACTGGCATGCATATAAACGTGTGAGGGAGTTAACCCACATGTTAAGCATGTGTCATATTCACAATCTTTTCATTATACTTCCTAAAGCCATTGGTAACTTAAAAAGCCGACAGCAATTCAATGCAGTGCGTCGATGAAATCAGGGTTAACATATACTCAGCATAAACGGAAACCTTCAATGGTCTGTGGATAAGTAGATCTCCTCGCCATAAGTGGTTGCTGCACACTAACGAGCCATTGCTGGCAATATGACGCGTCTTTACAATGCACTGAACAAGACTCTTGCAATTTCGTGGGGTGTTACAAATGGGCATTTTATTTTCTAGACCTTAATGCATTACAAACACTTTAAAAATATTTATCAGTTTACAGCGTTCTGATATGTGTCGCCGTAACCGAAGTCTACTATCAAAATCATACTATGTGGGTTCGAGTCCTACTGGCGACACATTTTTTACTACATTTTTTAAATCATTGATTTGCGAGTCAAAATATAAACTTTTTTTGTTTGTTAACTCTATGTTTATATTTATAGAGATAATGTAGAACCAGATAATTGTTGGGCGACCCATTCGTGAAAAATAATGGATCGCCTAAACATCATATTAAACAGACGCGCCATCACTGGTTTTCAGTGATCCAATCATATATTTTTCATTACTACTTTGCTTTTTACGTCCAGTGGAATCTGTTTCGGTAGATAAGTGAAACTGATTATTCTCTGGCGTTGACGGTTTGAATTACAAATTTTAGTGGAACAATGGGACCTACAGTTAAGTAAAGACTTGTTGATATTTTTTGGATATTTTTGCGAAATCATTGGCAGTCTGCTGGAGTGACTTCATATATTTTGCTACTCAAGCCATAATTGCAAATATATTTGGGTATTAGACAAAAGGTAACTAACAATAATTTAATAATGTTCCCTATGGGGATTAAGGTTGGAATAGGTCCACAGTACCACATGCTTGTAAAGCGGGGACCGTGTGGTCAGTATCTGACTGGTAATTTGCTTAGAATCGTCGTATTCACGAAGACTTGGGACGTTGATTATGGCGTCAACCAGTGCTTACCTTAGACAGATTCGATTTATGACAGGTTGACGTGACATAGCTGCAAAATTGTTGTTTGTTTATTTGTTTTATTTGTTTGTTGGTGTGAAACGCAATTGGCACTCGACGACATGCAATTGTCCAAGTCACCGAACCTGTCCGCCCGATCAATACAGTCGCCTCTTACGACCACAATAGGTTGCAGGGGACCTATATATTCTATACCGGGAATCCCAAAGAAAATGTTAACATACTATGTATGATAACAAAGTAAAGTTGTTACGATAAAGTGGCTGATTTTCACGGGAAGCCCACGTGGTAAAACCTGGTGCAAACCACAATAATAATTGTGTTCACAAAAGATATACCAATCTGTAGAGCAATGTCATTCCTTTCAGGTGGGTCTGCTGGCGTGACAGTGTCGGCCTGACCTATATATTCCTCTGGGGTTTGTCTGGAGCATGTTTGTTTCAAACAACGGGTACCCGGAACTGACATTACACGGATCTATGATGGTCCAGTCGTCTGAAGCTCCATATTTCGTTGTGCAGAGTTGCGTCCCTTAGGCGCGCAAGATGCTTATGATTGTTAATGATCCCAGATTCGCCCAAGCTGTCTAAGAAATATAATATGTCCAGGCATTATCTGTTGTTTATCAGACGATGCTTTTAATGCCACGAATTAAAATAATATGATTAAGAAGATTATGTTTTTCGATTTCATTATTGTCTTGTCCTATCATTGATTATATTAAACTTTACATGTTTTTAACACTATACATCCACAGATAGGGTCGTCTAGCTGATAATAATAAATGTAACAACTGTTAACTAACACGTTTAGTTAACTTACTATTACATATTGTATTTATCAAAACAGATGCAAGATGATAATTTACGCAACACCCCAATCCGTCAAAGATTTATCAACTAATATTTTTCACATGAACAAAACGTAAAGGGACCAAGATAAACGCCAAAACGCAAAAGTTATAAGTGATCAATTACACCTAGTCACTGACAAATTTCAAGAGTTCCCCTCGATTACTGCTGAAAATATAGAGATTAAAATTCAAGTGTGACGACACTTGGAGATTACCTTTGGTCAGAGACGGACATTATTCAAACTGTATCAATATTGACCCCCGCAAAAGTCAGGAAAGACCTATTTGAGTTGAGGGCATGGTCTCACTGAGGGGAGTGGTTAACGGGTACGGCACATCTGTGGTCTTTTGATCTCGCCTCCATCCATGACATTAAATATTCAGTACATAATGCATAGATGTAATATTGTGTTGAATTGACTCAACAGGTGAAGACTACTTGGTGGCTCTGGCATATAAAGGCGAAGACTCGTACATCAGGTACATAGCCGGAGAAACCGGGGGCCTGGTGGAGATACAGAATCCACACTTCGCCTACAGTACATCCCGTGTATTGGGTCCCTTCGAAGGAGATTCAGACAGTGTAAGCGGTAGGATGCAAATAACGAGAGCTATAGAAAATAAAGCTGTCGTTGTGAGCGCAAGTGATGAAGATGTAAACATTGTGGTAAACGCTGATGGTGTATTCTCTCCTCTTCCTATATCTGCCCTTGGGACCAAGTACATTCTACCTTCCAGTCTTGTACCTAACAGTAGTTATCGATCCTTGCTACTGATAGCTACACACAACATGAGCACGAGTGTTGATATATCCTTTCGAATGAAAAAAGGAAGTGTTTACTTTGTCAATAACGAATACAGTGACGGCGATACCCTGTCCAATAAACTTGACCCATATCAAACGTTCATGGTGTACACCCCTCATGATCTGAATGGAACGGTCATTAAGAGTGAACATAGCGTGGCCGTCTACAGTGGTATAGACTATGCCTCGAAGTACACTGTGTATGACCAACTATTGCCTGTCAAGCACCACGGACAGGAGTATGTTGTTGCTGTAGATGACACCAAGCTGGAGCTGCAGATCATCAGTGAACACAGCCACGTGCAGATCACGTTCAGTACCGGGGTCACAATCTCCACTGGTGAGCGTCGTCTGTATAACCGCTCACTTGAACAGGGAGAGAGTCTTCACTTCACCACCACACGCCCGGTACTGGTAACACTCAGTAGAGCAGATGGTTACAGCAGTGTCTTCACAACTGTACCACCTGTACACTCTTACGTCACACAGAGGGGTTACTGGCCTCAATCCTTCGCCACATCATTGGGTTACTGGTCTCAAGAAAACAATCTTAATACAACATTAAAGATATTAACTGAGAGGACAGCGACTGTGCTTTTTAAAAGCGATCGACCGTACAATCGTCTGACATGGGTGGATATTCCAGGCAGCAGATACAAAGTTGGCACACTGGTACAGTCAGACCGATATACATTTCGTTCTACGATCATTTCTAGTGACCTCCCCTTCACAGCTCTGTCCTTCTTTAACGGATCAGTCTATAACATCGGCTACCGTGTGTCTGCAGTACATTATACAGGTAAGTGGAACAGTTACATCATGGTTATCAACTTAAAATGTTTTCAGTGAGTGAGTGAGTGAGTGAGTTAAAATTTAACGTCACATCGGCTATATTTCAGCCATATAGTGACGCACAGTGTTTTGAATAATTTGATGTAGGTATATTCCGTATGGCTTGTGTAGTTAGTACATGTGTGTAATGTGTTCATGGTCTGTCCAGGTGTCTGGGGCGCCGCTGTGTGGAGTAGATTCCGCCTGCTTAGGATTAATCTGTGTCAGTACCATGTCACTGCTTATAGATTTCATACAACTTGTATACTCCTTAATAAAAGCGACGAATTCCTTTCTATACACACAAGAAATCTCTGTTAAAAGCAGAGTCGACTGTACGATTCCGACAGTGAAAATGTGTTTATGAATCACTATCAAATAGTGATGATGTTACGTGTGGTATGAACGGCAGGGGTTCCCGCTAATACCACAAATAACAATTACAATAATCACACAACAATCTCTGAAGTTTAAAGCTAGATTTAATAATTAAAACAAAGATAAGTATATAACAGTTCTCAGTTACTGGGCAAGGCACTCATACACATCTATTTAGGCAAAGCAATATGGCAAATGTGCAATATAGATAATAGTCACCTCAGATTTCTTGTCATCACATTCCCAATGAATTCCATTTCACATTGTTCCAAACTTATATATAACAGTTCACAGGATAACTGGGTAACAACAGTTTCCTCCTTCGAAGCGTCGACATGACCCTCTAACTTTGTCTCCGGACATAACGCTGGGCTGAACTGCCCTCGTTCAGTTAAACCATATTTCTCCCTCTCCAATTCTTTTTCCTTCTTTTTTTCTGTTCGATAACTTGCCCTCATATAGTAAACACATTTCCAAGTAAGCTATCTACTTCAGCACACAACAAAAGGTTGATCGGCCCACACCAATCAGTTACCAAGCCAACTCAAACTCCAATCACCCCACAAGCACGCTTCTCCCCGTCAGGTAGCTTGCTTAACTCAATCAAGCATGACGCCGTCCACCCAAACTAGACCCCTTGTGAACTACACAAATATAAAACGTCACTCATAACAATGATACGTGTTCGTAAAAGGTGAGCGCATCCCGCCAAACCGGTGGCATCCGTCACCAACACATGCAAATGCATGTCATCTGTTCACCTGAAAAACCCGGGAACATATGGTGCAAGTCAAAATTACGAATTGTATCAGATTGAAAATATCCTCCACATGTCTACAATAACACTTTTTGAAAGTTGTACTTAAGCCTTGAATTTTGTAATTTTGATAAAACAACTTTTGAGCAAGAGTCGAATAAAGTCTTTAAAAATCTTTGCAGAAAGAGCATGCTCGATTGTACCTGAAAAGTTGTGGAATGTAGACACCAGAAACCTTCGGAATTTCATCCAACATTTAGCTCACATGCCTTGATATTACTGAACTATTATTGAAAACGGAGTCAAGCACTCATTATTGCAAATGGTTATAAGCCACCCACTATATTTTTAATTTTGAAAAAAATACTTCATTGATCTGTGGTTGTAAGGAACATGTGATTGTTACTGGCTCCCTTTGGCTATTGCCTATTGAAATGCTTTACTTAAAGTTGCATGTGACATCGGTGCTAGAGAAGATACTGGTATTACTGTTTCATTCACTTATCATCAGGTTATCAAATACAGAAACAGTACTATGCCTTACAGATCGAAGTTACTTGATGGCACTGCCAGGAAACACTGGCCACACCGACCACGACCATATCCCCCGGATACTCGCCAGTGCAGGGGAGACAGGAGGCCAGTGGCAGATACAGGATCCAATCTCCGGGCGCGTCTGGTCTCGAAACTTCAACCCTTACAACACAGACTACTTTTACCCAATATCCAATAGAGTAATGCTTTTCCTTGTGCATGTGAGAGATGGTTCTATTCATATCACAGGGGGAATGAACTTTTACACTTCATTCTCTGCCCTTCCTGTGTCTGCACTAGGCACCAAGTACATCATGTCTTCCTGTCTTCCTCCTACTGGCAACATATACGAGTACACCTACCTATCAGTTTTAGTGATAGCCACACACAGCAGGAAGGCGGATGTTGACGTTATCTTCAGATTGGAGGGCAACGTCACCTATGACGGCAGGACGTACAACGACGGGGACACTCTCAGTGTCAGATTAGATAAGTATCAGGCGTTCTCCATAAACAGTTCATCTGATATGACCAGAACCATCGTTGATGCCACGGAAACAATAGCCGTCTATAGTGGAACATACGTTATGATCCGAAGAGTCTTTGAAACCTACGCGCAATTATTGCCTGTGAAATATTATGGCAGTGAGTATGTTCTTGCGATCAATGATTCTGACGACAAGCGACAAGGGTTGTCATACCAACTTCAAGTTGTTACAGACCATAGTGACACGAGCATCATGTTTAATAACGGTTCCTTGGTCTCAATGGGTAAAGATGGACTGTATCGTAAACAATGTGGAAGTTTCGACACTTTCTACTTCAACACCACAAGACCAGCCTCGGTCACATTGTGTGCTGCTGGAACGTTTTACTATACTGATGGGTTAATTGTAGTACCACCAGTAACCCTCTACTCTACGCAAACAACACAACAAGTCCCAGGCGTCATGCAAATATTGACATTTCAAGAAAACAATAATTTTCAAGAAACCCACAAGGTTCACTCTACAGTTTCCAGTCCTCCAATTACGTGGAAGAAAGTGTCAGGAACAAGATTCAAAGTGGGAACATTATCAGGTGGTTCATACACAACAACCATCCGTTCCAACTATTCTTTTGCTGTCCTTGGATATCATCACTTTACTATATACAACGGAGGATACAATTTTAGGACATATCTTGATGCAGGTAAGTCTTTTAATGTATATTTAAATGTAAAACTTAAGGGATATTCTTTGAATCAAGAATCAACAGAATTTGCAGTGCCATTTGAGAACAAAGCCTGTCGTGATGTGTTCAGTGCGATGTTGGAATTCCGGGTCTGAATGGTTTTCAGATGTACCTTATGTACTGTTGCTCATAGTACCAATCACTAGATTGTTTGGTTCAGACTAGAGTATGTCCAGGACGCCGTAGTAAAGCTGGAATATTGCTGTGTGCGTCGTTAAACAACAAACAAAGTATGTGTCGACTACAGTGGTGTCGGGTAGTCGAGATGTGTGGCTGTTTATTTATAGGCTGCCGTGGTATAGCAAGCATTTCGCTTATTGCAGCGTTAAGCAACGTATACTCAACTCTATTATTACCATATTACATTTTAAGTGTGTTAAGGGGATTGAGCTTAAAATAGTTGTAGGTCCCCCACAAACAACTTTGTCATTAATGTGTAACAATCATTGTACGGATTGGTCATATGTACCTCAAGTCGTGGAATAATTGGCTAATTGGATTCAAATCAGCTCACTCTGTATGGTTTAACATATGTACTGCTCGGTATACGTCCATGCTTGTGTCAGTTATCAAGACAATACATACATTGAAGACCTTCACTGATTCATTCCAGCGACCACTACGCCAGATGGAATTGGAAACAAGTTAAATACAGGAGGTTCCTTACAAGGTGAATGTTAAATGTTATTCCTTTTTTCGTCGGTCGTCCACCACCGACCATGTTTATCTACATTCTACTTTGCCATGAGATTTCCCAAACATATATTGATACATTGAACAGCTTCACTTATTCGTTACAGAGACCTCTACACCAGATGGAAGAGGAAACAATTTAAATACAAGTGTTGCCTTTCAAGGTGAATGTTTAATATTATTCTTTTTCTTTGGAGTATGAACTCTCATAGAGTGAGGGCCAAACTGTATGTTTGACCTATCACGTTGGTGATTATGAGGATGTGTCAAATAGATACGCATGTAAATGCATAGATTGCTGTGGACCGTCACCGTCACTCCAGACACGGATAGAGTCGATACTACGATAGGCCTAGGTTGGATGTACGTTTCTTTGTTTTTTTAAATAGGACGGGTTACTGGTGAGGATATACGAGAACGATCGTGCAGCCAAACTCTCTGACGTTTCTCAATGTTTGATAAAATGCTGAATTCAAAATTGAAGAATCTTAATCATCAGAAACAACGCTTCTGTATGTATGTATGTATGTATGTATGTATGTATGTATGTATGTATGTATGTATGTATGTATGTATGTATGTATGTATGTATGTATGTATGTATTCGTGCTTGGGAATTCACGGGGGTTCCACCCAGGAATGTGTAAGTATAGATAGATAGAGTTAAGATCAAAATAGTTGTGAAATACTGAATACTGCATTTCAAATTTGTCTTAAACCAAACTATCTCTTTCTTCTGTATGTTTTAGGGGGCACGGGTGGCCCAGTTGTCTAAGGCGCCGCGATCTGCTGTGCAGAGTTGCGTCACTTGGGCACACCAGAAACCTATGATTGTGGGTTTGAATCCCGGTTCGCCCCAATTATGTTTCTAGGTTTGTCAGCATCATACCCGTGCTCGTGGGTTCCACCTAAGTGGTAAACGTCCGAGACCTGCATCACTTCGGGCTTTCCCCCCACATTAAGCTGACACGCCGTGATATAACTGAAATACTGTTAAAAGCGGCGTTAAACCCAACTCACTCACTCTGTATGTTTTAACATTTATGCTTCTTGGTATACTTCAATGATTGTGTCAGATATCAAGACAATACATACATTGAATACCTTCACTGACTCATTCCAGCGACCTCTACGCCAGATGGAATTGGAAACAAGTTAAATACAGGAGGTTCCTTACAAGGTAAATGTTAAATGTTATTCCTTTTTTCGTCGGTCGTCCACCACCGACCATGTTTATCAACATTCTACTTTGCCATGAGATTTCCCAAATTTATATTGATGCATTCATTATGCGGACCCGTTTCCGAGCTGATCATAAACGTTACCAGCATCTTAGTATACCACTTAAACACTCGCGGGTGGCCCAGTCGTCTAAGGCGCCGCGATTCGCTGTGTCAGCACCATACCCGTGCACGTTGGTTTCATCGAAGTGGTAAACGTCTGAGACCTGCATCACTTCGGGCTTTCCCCCCACATAAAGCTGACACGCCGTGATAAAACTGGAATACTGTTAAAAGCGGCGTTAAACCCAACTCATTCACTCTGTATATCTTGACATGTAGCCCCTTCAGAAATATAACAGTCCTTCGTTTTTTACAAGATGTCACTATTTTAAGAGAAAAATATATTCATTTCAGCAGACGGCTCAAACAACGCAGCACTGATCGTGGGGATAATCTCTGGGGTTGTTATTGTGGCTCTCCTGGTCGCCTTTATGTCATATGTATTCTACATGTAAGTATTTACATGCATGTAGTTGACTGAGATTTGTTTCTCAAACGTTTTTGTTCTTAGATCTATAACAACGTACATGTATTACAATCTCTTGAACAAGGGAAAAAGTTCTATGGATATACAACTTCTTTATTACAATGAATGCGACGTTTCGGTGCAGATACTATCCATAAAACCATATCCCTTGTTCATCACAGGAACTTCGAACAGGTAACTTGGTTATATACCATTTAAAACAGTAGGAGATACTCGGAAATGACTTAATGCACGATAATACTGAACGAATTGGGAACACAGTACGACAGAAAGTGAAGTATGACAGTCAATGATTTGACCGCCAACGATCTTGAAGGAGGATAAGGGTGAGATGAGAAATTTCAAAGTTAATGTTTGTGGATTGGTAGTGCGTACTGCCGCCACTCAATCATTCACTTGACGAGGCATACAGAGTCTCCTACTGGTTATTTGAGGGAGTCTGTCCCACTCCTCTTGCAGTGCCTAGCCAAGTTCAACCAAGGTGGTCGGCGGTCTATGACGTCCTCACACGTCTCCCTAACCATGTCCCAGGTGTGTTCAACGAGAGTAAGGTCTGGGCTTATTGCTGGCAGTGACATTCTGTGGATGTTGTGCTGCTCGAGGTTAGCACTGAGCACTTGACGTAACTTTCGACATCGCCAGACACGCCTTTCAAGGACGTGCAAAGTGAATTTGGACTCATCTCAAAACTTTACCAGCGACGATCACCCCACTTTCGATGTTAAGTTAACCTTTGACCTCTTTTGGGTGTATGGCGATTTTTAAGGGACGGGACAACACGTGGTCGTTGAGCATAGAAATGAGCTGTATAAAGGCGATGTCTAATGGTCTTGACACGTAACTCGTACTCCAGTAGCCCGAAGTTTGCAGCAGTTAGATTGGCCGTTTGAGCTCGATTTCGTAGAGCCTGGTATCACCCCCTGAATGGGGACGATTGTCACATTTGGGGTATGTTCTATACTCTGCTAATCATAGACTGTGAAACGTCGAACGTTGGTCACTGTTTGCTGACTTGTGAAAGTTTCCATCATGCTGACAGCCCGTAGACGCTCCGCGCCTTGCAGACAGCGTACCGCTAGTGCATACACAAACAATGAATGAAATCAAGTAAATCGCAACTGTATGATAAGCAGAGTCAATGAATAGACAGACATAGATTGACAGAAATAATGATCCATAGAGATTAATCGACCTTCAATGAAAGTGACAGAATTGGGAACGATACCCCATGTACGTGTGCGACGCTTCTGTGTTTCAGACATAAACGCTTTAACAAAGGATGTTTGTCGTCAAGATTTGATTTAATACTGGTATTAACATTTATATCTATGATCCCTTACTTTTAAGAGTATAATTTATGAAAGTGATCGCCCATAATTACCATTCAGCGATTGAAAGAATAAACAGACTCCAAACAAAATCAAGTTAGTGTTGCTGTACCTGCAGCCAGTAGCAGCATATATGATTGGTAGGTACTGTGCCTGAATCAACTCGAGGATGAACCGCATATTCAGCATCTCAGAAACAGCTACGTTATCCTGCCCATCCGGTAACATACATATTTAATAGTGGAGTACGCAGAACGAGATATGTGTAATACTATAGCAGTATCAGTCGCAGGGTATATACGTGATGAAACCCATTAATATTTTCTTGAACATGGAAATGGATAAGACATAGAAACTATTACAAGCCCTTTTAAATATCATATGTCTGGCAGTAACATAATTCTGGCATCATAAGCACGTGATAATTTTCGTTTTATTGATATCAGTGTTTTAGTTACTGTAATTAATTAAGTCATGTAAATAAACAAATCTTTACTCAGTTACAGTTTTAGCTACCTGATTTTATTATTTTGTTCAACCCACCTTTATCATAAACCATTACAAACAGCCATTTAACTGAGCAAGCTTATTTCTCTCTATAATATTAACACTCTTTGCCATGCCTAACTCTGTAGCCCAATCCCTTCCTCTATCAAGTCCTTTTGTCTTTCTGGCCAGATAAGGTACTCAGCTAATCTCTACACTGGACACCTAAGAAGGGTCACTACACATATATTCTTTGAAGGATACAAGCGTATCTTATTCTGCTTATCATTGTGATCCTGAAGAATAGGGTTTAATACCTTAATACTCGCTGTTTTGGTGTATCTTAAGTTGGATTAACTACTGTAATTTGTGTGCCTGTTTCTCTTTTTAAGCCGCAAGAACACGATGCCACTTAAGAGAGTTGCAGAACAAGGCGCCGATGCTCCCTCGACCTCCAACATCTACACGGTGCCTGACAGTGTCGCTGAAGGTGCAGCAGATGAGGCCACCTACACGGAGCTGACAACTAACTGCACACCTGTCGACGTCAGCATCGCTGACAGTTCTGCAACATATGTCAATTTCGAAGGTGGAAAATAACTCGAAACAATGCAAACATAAATTAGAACTGTTATGGAAACCCATTCTGAGACATTTAGCTGTCTTATTGTAAATAGATACATTCTCTCAAACACACTGACTGAACATTCATGTCATAAACATTTAATGTTTTGTGTACACGTTTTATTTTCACAAGAATATATCTTATCCATGTGAATATTCAGAGTTTATTTAACAATTAGGACACAAAAACCTTTGATTATATTACATTAATTTCAAAAGGTAATTACTGTCGTATTAATGTGGTAAAATTGCATCTGCTACAGTTTGAGTAAAGTACAAGGCATCAACCAGGACATGATTCACGTACTTAGCTGCCCCCAACAAATGATGTATGGTGTTAAGGGGCGTGCATAAAGCATCTCTCTCTAAAACACATTTCAATTTGTTGTGGTGAGTATCCCTGACATCCATTTCAAGGAAAAGCACCGCATTGGGGCGAAATCGATGTTATTATTTAGTTATGTTAAATTCCAGAGTTTGCAGAGTTCTATACCCAAGCTGTGTGACTTTATTGATATAAGCAGGACAGAGCAACACTATAGCAGCCTCAAGCTAGTTTTTACTTTTCAGTTTTCTTAAATTGGTTACTTGAGTTACTCATGGAGATTTGTTTGACAGTGATTAAATTATGTCACATACGGTGATGTGGGAGGATAGCTTTAACTGACGGTTGAAGAGGTTTATTTCTTGACTCTTTTTGTGTAGCAACTTTTTATTGTATTTGACCATGTTTCTTATGATTTCATTGTTTATTGTTTACTGACACGATTCAACAATTCAATACATTCTAATGATTTACTCTTGTTATATTTATAGTTTTGTCATTTATTCATATATGCATATCTTTATATATGATATTTTGGTATCTCTTTAATTTGCGAGAGGTTATTTCTAAATTTAAAGACCACCCCTTAAAAACATCAAATCACCTTGATGCTTTTGAGAGATGATTTGGTTTAAGATCTTATGTCTTCACATGTTTTAAATTTCATGAAGCTTTGTAATGTTATGTTTCGTTTGGAGATTTCTGATTTTTGTCATTGATTGTCATTCCCATTTTAATTTGCTAGAACCATAAATGTTTCTTAAATGTTTTATTTTCTTAGAATTAGCTTATTTCCATCTTTCAATAAACTTCTTTGCAAAGTATAAAGCGACGTTCATCATTTGTAACAGCTGCGGGGTACTGCAGACTCCTTACTTGTCTTGACTTGTACCATCATATATGCCTGTGTTTGTTCAGGTGAATAATTGACTTCCTCTGCGTGTGTTTGTGACAAGCGCCGCAGGTGGGGCCTGGCATCATCACTATTTGATAATGATTTAGAAACACATGCTCATCATATAGACGGAAGCGTACAATGTATCTTTCTTTCAGTAGAGATTTCTTGTGATTAAGGCAAAGGGCTTTGTCACCTGTATATTATTGGTATAAGATGAGGAAGATGAGGTTAGGTGTGATGTGATTACTTGAGGAAGGAAACTTAATCTGGTTGAAATCAAAGTGGATCAATGCATTCAATAACAGGACCAAAACCGAACCATACACGTTACAGATAAAAGCAACACAACCATTTCTATAGTCATAATCAGGTGCAAGCGAAAAGTCAAATTCAAAGGCTGGTCATGATCAATTGTTCCCCCGAACGTAACAAGGTTATTCCACTCGGGACAGATATTGGAATACATATAAAAGCTTGTTTGATAGTGTCACTGAGTGAGAGTGAACCCAGCAGAAGGGAGGTCAGCAGCCGTGTCACTGACTGAGAGTGAACTCAGCAGAAGGGAGGTCAGCAGCCGTGTCACTGAGTGAGAGTCCATCCAGCAGAAGGGAGGTCAGCAGCCGTGTCACTGAGTGACATTACACCCAGCAGAAAGGAGGTCAGCAGCCGTGTCACTGAGTGAGAGTACACCCAGCGGAAGGGAGGTCAGCAGCCATGTCACTGAGTGAGAGTTAACCAAGCAGAAGGGAAATCAGCAGCCGTGTCACTGAGTGAGAGTACACCCAGCGGAAGGGAGGTCAGCAGGCATGTCACTGAGTGACAGTACACCCAGCAGAAGGGAGGTCGGCAGCCATGTTAGTCAGTGAGACTACACCCAGCAGAAGGGGAGACATCAGCCATGTCCATGAGTGAGACTGTAATGTGTGGTCGAAGTAAGAGATTTTACGTACGCCTCAGACACTGTTTCGAAACGTATGTCCTAAGTAGTGGGACTCAACATTAGCTCCTTGTTGTCCGATACTTTGAAACTTTACTCAGAAGCCACAAAAAAAATAAGGCTTAAACATCACGCGTTCCAATCAATTATTATACACGAACGTTCGTACCTGTTTTAGATTACTCGGTCGTTTATGCAGAAAATGTAACATGAAATGGGAGCAATAAATATGTTCTGGTTTATTTCTTCATTTTTGTGCATATCTTAACTTTGTTTTTAAATGCTTTTTAATTTTCTCAAAATGCATATTTGGTTCTGTTAACTCCATCCCCTGACAGACGGAGGGAGTTGGACTTTCTCACGTATGTTTCTCCATTTGATTATTATTAATGCAGAAAATATTTGAATATCAAAACTGACAGCTTTTGTTGTGTGTCTGTCTTTGTTCATCTTTAAACAGTGCCGTGGCACTACTTGCTTTCAACCCTGATGCCGAGGACCAGGCAGGGTAACAACAAATACCTTCTTTTAAGGTCCTTTGGTATGACACGGCCGGGGACCTGGTTACCGACCTTCAGCTCTCTGGGCAGGCGCTTTGTCTTCCAGACAACGGAAATTGAAAAGGGGTGTTTATGCTTCTTAGAGTTGTTCTGAGTATGAAATAACATTTTGAATTTTAATCTAACAAAATGGCCCAAATGAATATTTATTTCAATCGAGAAGATGCCTAGACAGATACAGTTGTTTCGTGAGTCTTTAACTATTTGCATTATGACATTACGTTGTGTTAAGTGAGTGAGTGAGTGAGTGAATATGGTTTTACGCCACTTTTAGCAATATGCCAGCAATATCACGGCGGGGGACACTGGAAATGGGCTTCACACATTGTAACCATGTCGGGAATCGAACCCGGGTCTTCGGCGTGACGAGCGAACGCTTTAACCACTAGGGTGCCCGACCGCCCCACGTTGTGTTAAGCTAAGTTAGGAGCTCTCATGTATAGCAAAGCATGCAGTACACTGAAGGCTAGACATGTTTCTTAGGTAACGACAGCCTCGGGACATACACGCACACAACCGGAACAGAGCACCGGGTTAACATTTTTACATCGAAAAATTACGATTACGAGTCTACAATTCATTTGTAAAGAAACGTTCCAGTTTTGGGTGGTCTATGGAATTCTATTCAAGCTTAATTCTGAAGCATCAAAATTAAATGTACATGTTATTAAAAACATTATTGCTAAGTTATAATCGATCAGATCAAAAAAGATATAAAAGATCAGTTGATACGAGCTTTAAATATTGATTTAGACTTCATATTACAACGCGTGCGTTGTTATAAATAATTTGCATGTTCGTTGATATACAGGACATGCCGCGCACATGCTTGTTTACCAGTCAGCTAATTGACACATACATGGGAATATTCAAGTATTGTACAGGAATAGTCTTAAGAAGTGTCAAGTGTTTAAAATTGAATTTAACAGAACAAAATATACTCGATCCTAATTGACTACAGAGGCAAGCAAACTGGTACCTAGTCTGCACTGGAAGCCCCACGAAAAGCTAACTGGTTTTAGACCATACGTCGACACACCAAACATGTTGATAATAATTGTCACAGACGAGGAAAACCAGATAAGGAACGAGGAATACTATGTTGTATAGGGTATTACTATCAACTGTAACAAGGAAACTTGTTGTCGTAGTCAATAATGCGTCAGTACTATCCAGATCCAGTTTCTATACATTTTTATTTGTTTGAGAACTATACATGTTACAGGTAAAATATGTTCCCATTTTATTTATAAATCTCGTCAGTTATCCGTCATCGAAAACGTATAAATGAATGCATATGAGGAAATTTGAATTGATAACAACATGTATGGCGGAATGAGTGGAAATGCATAATTCGCTGACACCAATGTTCAGCAGCAAGATTACTACTGATGTATTTGGTCTAAAACCCATAATGTGAAATTATTTTATTTCACATTTCTCCTTCTGATAGTTTGAGTAACTACGATTTTCTTGTAAGTATAATTCCAAAATTCCATCACATTTATCTGTGCCATCATACAATACGATATCGCGGTATGGCGATATTGCGAAACGATATAGCGATATTGTGATGACACGACACGACATGTCTGTGCCATAACTGAACATCTTATAATAGCAGTACGTAAGTGTGATAAACGCAAGCATAAAGATAGAATACGCAACGAGTTCCCGTGTAATACCAATCTTATGAAACGTGTGAATAGTTCTGATAAAATAATAGAACATAATCACGCGCTTTTTGTTATTAAACAGTGGCATATACAACGGTCGAGTAATAAACTTATATATCGAATTTGCAAGCCCGAAAGCACCATTTTGCTAGTAGAGGCACAAGTGTAAGGCTACAACAAAATAATTGCATTCTAATTGCAAAATCATCGCAAATTTATACTGATGTTTCTGTTTTGATGTATACCATTATATACCATTATATATTTGTAAAAACGTAAAATAAAGACGATAATAGATAATGATAACATTAAATTCAAACCCAATGTTCTCGATAAGCATTCTATTTTACAGTCCTCATAGTAGCCATAAAAGGCCATAAAACAAGACAAAGGTGAAGACGTGTCCAATATGAAGACATGACACGCAAAATGTCAAGTTAATGAGAACTCAATATCTCATGTTTCTACCATTATCGGCCTAGCACCGCCTGCCTGTCCTCATCTGGCCTACACATCATATCGCCTTCACTACTATCAAAACCAACTCATGGATGAGTGCACATCACACTGGTACCCTTATCCCTTAAGTAAAATGAACTCTTGCAACAAGATAACAAAGGATGTAAATGACTTTTGGTACTGTAATTTCATTTTGTATATGAGATTATCTTCACAACTCAAATGTTTTCACATCAAATATCATAAATACACATGTATTATCATAGCACTGTACATTTATATCCATCATCTTCATGTTTTATTACATTAGCACTACATCATTACTAGCAAAATTACTGTAATTTGATGAAATGTCCAACTGCATCCAGAAACTGGATCACTGATCTTCTGCCAGCAGCAAGCTGCTGTTTCAGTCTCTCGATCCTTGCATCTCGGTCTCTGTCAACACGAGCACGAGGTCTCATGGCACCACCCTTTCCAAACTGCCTTCTTGACCGTCTATCTGCTGTCTCGATCTTCTTGAGTTCTTTGACAAGCTGGAAGATGTTGGGATGGGTTCTCGGCATTCTCTTCTTCAGGCCGTTGTGGAAACCTTCAAGATGGTTGTTGGAGCGCGGACCGGTGTTCTCGTGTTGATTCCACAGGGCTCGAGGGAACGTTGCATTGAAGTCCACCCATGCGCTGGTGACGTAGTCGTTGAACCTGGTGATCTGCTGCCCATATGGACCTTGCTCCATCACTTCAATCTATGCATCTTGGACTTCAGCTAGGGGTAGAAGCGGCAACGCTGCAGCTCTTCTGATGTGGGTCTGCACTGCTGGGTTGTCGGTGTAGTCTCGGGCCAGGCCTCTGTCCACAACTTGACTCCACAGAGCCTGGGCGTAGTGGGAAAAAACATCCTCTGACGGAACTTGCTGGGAAGACAAAGCTGATGGCACTGATGATAGCTGATCGTAGTCTGTCTGGATGATGTCTGGAGAGAGGTCTACACCAGTCCTTGCGCCAACAACATCCTTCAGCAAGGTGAACAGTAATAATAATAACAGAATCATTGGATTATATCAGGTAAGGTAATGTATACACACTTACAAAACTTTTGAGATGAGTAGACCTGTTAAATGATCAAAGTGGATTATAACAGTAATCCTGTATAAACAGTCAAAACAAACTCAAGGATCAGATACCACTATGAAAACATCGGATTAGTTCAAAGGCCCACGTACTCAGGTCATTTATTGATATAAATGAATGAAATCATTAATGGGTTAATGGACAGTACCATTCTACACAACAGAGGTGTGGAAGTAACCATTTGTATTTAGTGAAGGCCAATATGAGGTGTATGCGATATAAGGTGTAGGCCAGATGAGGGCAAGCCGCACCGCCTGTCCACGGAGTACGAAGTACACGTTGTAGATTGATAGCTCACAAACCCTGTATTGTTGTTACGAGGTGATTTCCAAATTTAAACGCAAAGGTTCAACAAGAAATCTATTCATATAGAACTAAATTGTGAAATAAATAAATGACCACACAAGATCAACGAGTAATTAATTATATTTAAAAACAGCTTTAGATATACAGTCACAAAAGAGCCATGGAAGGATCTGGACATTGTTAATTCATACGAATATTGCTGTTACACAAGTAGTATGCAGTCCAGCATTGTCACGTTGAAACATAATTAACGTGATGAAAACGTGCGGCTACACAATTCCATCACAATAGCGATGTGCCGTTCAGTTGCCTGGCACTGGGTTTGTTCTTCCGGTGTGAAAGAAATCCGCCCGTATTATTACGCTGCAAAAGCATATTCTGTTGATCAGCCTTCGTTGGCCGGTAACCCCTTGCGTCCAAACATTCTCAGTACCTCATAAATCGATTAACCAAACGTCTCTTTTCAATATCGTTTCTACAACTGACTGCAATACTCCGTGAAATAACGTCATAGTTAAACGGATGCTAACAGTCAACTTTTAGTCAATTTTTAGTCAATGTTGTGTCTGTAACTCAATTTCACTGTATCGGAACATCGCATCAGTTTGTTACTATCGCTCTGTTGCGCGATATCGTGTTGATATGTCGGAGCGATATGGCGATGACCACCCTCAGAAAATCTTTTTATAACCTGTTGTAGAAAATGCAGAGAACCACAACAGGAATACCTCTGTGACACATCTTACCATCGACAACATATGTTTTATGTGCACCAACCCTGCCTTTCAAAGGCTAGTGTTGATTATACACCAACATGATCTAATGACGTCATAGTTAAACCGACGCTAACAGTCAACATTTTGACATCGTTAGAAAACGAAAGAAAACATTTTTACACAGGTTCTACATTAAACCCAATATGCATAAAATGAATTTACTTTTCAATTACTCACGACTAGGAACATTGAGAAAACTGTCCAAATTCTGTTAAATCATCATGTCATTGTTTAAATCTATCAAGTAACTCTCCCTCTTTCTGAATTGAACATATATTGCTACCATAGTAAATCTGGTTAAATATACA